CGAGGTCTGTTCGCGACGCGGCGCACTCAGCGCACGCGTCTCTCAAACGCCGCGGCGCCGCCTCGCATGCGCACGCACAGGCACGCACTCCGGTCCCCCTCTAACTGCAACGGGGAGAACTTGCGCAGGTTCTCAGACGTTGCGGCGCTCATCAACATCTTGTCGTTATAACTCTGATGCTCAGTGGAGGGCTCCGGGGAGGACCCGCGACCCACGAAGACGCTCGCGATCGTGCTCAATTGCCCGTGCCTGCCAGGATCACCTCCTATGTTCACGCCATCATGGGGCTCCCGTATTTTGGCAGCGCCATCGGACGCGACTGAACCATCTGGCCGTATTATCCTCAGGGCGGTCCGGGCGTTTGTGTAGATAAAACATCATATCAGCCCGCTCACCCCGGATCGGAAGTGGTCGCGTCATCTCATATTACAGCTTGTCTGTCCCGGCTGTCCGAGCACATACAACGCCGTACTCGGAATGCTCCTCCTTACCTCTCAGGTCCTCGAGTTGCCCCTGTCGAACTGCCAAGACTTAGACACATCGCAAGCTGAAGACATTGACACTCTGGATCTGAGTATGAGCGCCACACTACCATCTAACTATCATCCAGGGCGACGTTCGGTGAGAGTCAAAATTTTTGGCTCGCCCTCTGCGAGGGATTATCCCGTGTCCTGTGAGCTCATAGCAGGCAGCGAATGGGCAAAGTTCGGAGTGGAGACCCACTTTAGACATCAAGATTGCCTTTACAGATGATCGCCCAGCTCTTCGCCTCCTTCTTTCCCCACACCCCCATCCCGTACGAGCCCGTGTACCTTTCCTGGTTACGCAGGCTCTCGATCCCAGCCCGCGTCCGGATGACCGCACCGTATGGCGCGATCTCTGTACGTACGACTTACAGGGCGCCTCACTAGAGCCGGGCTCGTGCTCGATCGATGTGCGGCGTAGTATGCAGGAGTGCGCACGAACGACTTCTCCCACCCGCGCCCTGTACGTACAGCGGTGTTTAGTATAGGTCATGAGATCGGTCGAACTCACCATTCATTCTCATGCTCTCGTCCGCGTGCGTTGAATCGTCCACCAGTAAGCCGTGTCTCTGCGATTCGTGGATTGGCGCTGGCGTTGGGCCTTTAAGTATACCGTGGTTGGTTAGTGTTTCTCGTGATCGTCTATAAGCTTGGACCACTTGCAAAAAGGCGTCATGGTCAAATTGCTTCCTAGCGAAGTGCGCGGGAGGCCATGTTGCGGCTAGCCACTCCCAAGGCTGAACAGCTTGGTATGATCATCGTGACTATCCCTCCCCTACCAGGATCAGAAGTCAATCCCGAGTAAAGAGCCCTTCCAGCTAAGCTGGGCTCATGACCGCTGTACACAACTTAACTTACCTATGGATGATACCTCTGCTAACTGTGGCTCTTCCGTGCGCGCTTCCGCTCTAAGCCCTATACCGACCTCTTCTATTCGCCCGGTCCGGAGCGCTCTAACGCCCCGGCTTCGGAGACCCCGATGGCCACTGGACATTGACATCGCGCGCGCGATCGGAGAGAAGGACACAGTATTAGCGGGTGGAAGGGAGGGGCCGGCCGTCGGGCTTGCGGCTGCAGTATGACCGGCTGTCGTCGAACCGCAGCCGGTCGGGCGAGCAAGTTCTCCTGCGCAGGCAGGGATGGGCAAGTGTGCTGATGCTAAGATGAACTATGTAGCTGGTGCAGTCTCGGGATTGTTCTTTATGCCCGGAGGGGGAGCACCGTCTCGCCTGCGCATATCGAACTACAGTCTACTAAAGTGAGCTTTCTAGCTGAAGAGCGCTGCTTGCACTAAATGAAACATGCGGCATACCGGATATGCTCGAACTTAACATCGCCGTCCACCCATGTTTGGAGCGAGGTAAGCTCTGGCACATATAACGGGAGCACATACTATAAAATATGAGGCTCATCCATACTCACCATGTTCGTCGTGGCCTACCGGAACCGCCGATTCGGAAGTCGCACCTCGAAATTGTTCGTTCTTCCGATCGACTGCGCACTCACCGGTGCCTCTTGTGGCGGCGATTGGTGGCAAGTATACGAGCCGGAAATGCTGGCAGGGCGACTACAACATAACTCTGCTCAACCAGAATAGTTATCTTGAACATCGAGGTCAGTTTGTGCCCATGTACTTACCGGTAATACTCAGGATTGCAATTTGTTTCACTGTAGTCCCCTCAAGCCGGGCGCGGTTCGACGTGAATAAGGAAGGACACACGACATTCGATACTCACCTACTTCACGTCTCAGTGACGATTCACGAGCCACTCACCTTGCAAGTACGTGTGAAACTGGTCTCATGCAGGATAACAATACTGCCCTGTGCTTTCCACCACAAGCTAGGACGAAACTATCAGGCATAAAACCCGTAAGGGCTCTGAAGCACTCACGACATCCAATATCTGTGTCTTCTCCAAAGTTTATGTCGCTGACGTCCCATCAAACCACTGACATGTCTTCATCGCGATGCAATCGTCTCGCAAATGGCGGAGGAATCCACTGCTCTAGATGTGAAACTTGGGCAGGAAACAGTGGTTTTCACGTCAAGGGATTCTCGATGCAGAGGCCTGGCTGTTTCACAGAGCTTCACAAGACAGCCTTGCTGACTTCCACGGGTTCGCGTAGTCCCTGGATGCCGCATATATGTGTCATACATACTGGGAGTTGGTTCGGCCAGCAGCCTAGGAAGTTGAGCAGTAACATAATGACCTCGGTGCTGACATGGACAGCGGGCTGGCAGGAGGGCGACCCTCGGGCGCCAATACTTACTTGAAGTAGCTTTTCGGAAAATTCCGGACTAAACTGTATCGGGCCACGATCTAGGTAGTACGCTTCCTCCGTTCGAAGGCAGTGAACGTCTGACAGGAATGTGCGCGACTTGTATGATGATCCACTATCCAACATTTGTGAGTGAACTATTGAGCTGCCTCGAAAGTCAAAATGGGCTGGACTTGAACGACCCAGTCTCATACGCATGCCGATTTGTTGTCAGTTAAGTTCCAACGCGGGGAGTACCTTTCAACCTTTGTGGTATCATGTCAACCGTTGATCACTTTTCAAGGGCGTTCTCTTTCCAAGACGACATTGACTTGCGATCTGGAATCTCGTAATTCCGCCGCATCTTCCGAATACGACTCCATGCGATGAAGGGAAGGTCACGGTCGTGTTTGATGCAACCTATTTAAGTATTAGACCGTATTCGCCAGGACTTAGGTCGCTGCACAGAAATGATCGCAAAGTGGAGCCAATTTCGCCAAGACTTTTGCTCCAACTACTGCAGATTCGGCCCTAAGATGCCTGCTATTGAGGCGTACGTGTGGTGCAGAGTCTCAGAGCCTCCTCAACTTCAAATATTCCGTGGCCTAGGTGCTAGCGGGTACGGTCTAATGGCAGCGCCATTCGATGATTTTGGCCGGGTCGACGAGATTGAGGAGGAGGAGGAGGAGGTTGAAGATCATTAACCCACCCCTGTCTCACAGCCTCAGGGACTCGGACACCCCGGCCGCGGGTATATAAGAGGGAATGATTGGCATGGATCGCCAGCTCTTCTCTTCTCTTTCTGAGCTCACCCCGAGTATAGGTGCCGGTCGGTGAGCCGCCTTTGCGCAAATCTGTTCCGCTGACGACAGTGTACTCATGGATGTCCTTCGACCACTGGCAGCCTGACTTGTTTTTCACTGCGAGTCGATCCTTCATTCACGTCTCACTTTACGACCTAGCCACTCTCGCTCCCACTTAGCTTCCGACAATGCGTTTCGCGTCCGCCTTTTCGTTTGTCCTCGCCGCTGTTGCCGCGGTCCCAGCACTGGCCCTTCCTACCTGGCGGTATGCACCATTCACGCAATCTAATCACAGGTTATTGGTATACTTATGTATTCTTTTAGGTCATCTGCTCAAGAGCGTGCTCTGACTGGGTATGGTCAACCCCCGGTAGCTCGTGGGTGGACCGACGTCGTAGTAGCAAGGGCCCCCGACCTGGAGGATGGTCTGCTCGCTCGCGACGATTTCTACGTGCGCTCCTACGACGATGAGCTCTATGCTCGTTTCGACTACGAGGACGTTCAAATGCAGAAACGCGAGGACGCCCGAGTCCTTGCCCGGGAGTTGGCGCACTTGCTCCTTGCACGTAACGGACGTAAGCAGGATCATTTGGATTCATTAGATCAGCAGTTTACTGAGACTACGCAGATATGCACCCAGTATCGGTGATTCAACAGACGCCAGGTATGCGCGAGTTATTCACTCGTCAATCCGCATGTTGACTGATACTTATATATGTTCCTGCACAGGTGATGACGGTCTGTACCACTGGAAGCTCCTCATCGGTGCCGAGCGCGCAGCGGGCACCGTCTGGCACGACGTGATCTGGTCCGACAAGAAGCACATCGGCATGGAGCACCGCGGCCCCAAGGCCTTTGACGCGGCCAAGTCGAAGGGCCACATCAAGACCTGGCACATCGCTGACATCGACGCCGCACACGTCGCCCATCTTAACACCATCGCGGCGAGCACCCGCACGCCGAAGTACGAGATCGCCGACATTGACAAGAACTGCCAGACGTGGATCGAGGACGTGATTAAGGAGGCGGTGAGCAAGAAGATCCTGCCTGCGAGCGCAACGTCTGCGCTCGCGAAGGTCCCGAAGGCGGAGTGATTGGCTACGATGTGTTATGGATGGATCATCTCATGTTTACATCAGTCACTTGAGCTAATGACGGAATTCAAGCATACTTGGTTTTTAAATATCGACAATCTGACTACCTTGCGGCCCGAGGCCTGAGTGATTATTATGGCATAGCCCACGGTGATATATGAGTGGCTTTAAATATCGGATAATGTATACGCGTGCATATCTCTGTTACGCGGCGATATACGTAACTGTACCGTTCAATACCATGCACATTCGCTTCATCCGCAGTATCTGACGCACGCGGCACAATCGAGGTCTTGAATACCAACCAAGCAGCCTTATCTTACTTCTATGCGGGATGGATCCTCACGTCACACAAAGCAGTCCCACACAACGCCATAATTGACACATATACCCTACGAAGTAGGTGACAACGTTATCCGCCATGGACTGCCAAACATCCGCATCGTTAGAGCTCGGCTACAGAGCATAGAAGGAAGGGACTCACATCGTGCTTCTCTGAGCAAGGCTCTACCAAGATCGTTGCCGACCCGAGTAGACCTCTTCAGCGTCGCAGCGAGTAGCCACCCCGAATTTCGCGAAGGGGCAACCACGGTCGGCCACCAGGACCGCAACGCACTCAGCTGTGGGAAGAAATGTAAGTGGGTTGTGCCAGGTTCGCCGCCGTCAGGGTACTCACAACTGCCTGGGGCCTAGGAAAGTGGATGCATGTTGGTGGAGAAACCGAGGCGATGCGCGACCGTTTATATAGCTCGAGAACGGGTTGAGGGCAGGTCAACAGCGGACAGCGTCCGCGTCTTCCTGAACACCTGGTCCCTCACATGGTGTCCTGTGCAGAGGTTCTATGGCTTCTATTTGCTTTCCGAGTGACAGCCCCATACCCCATCCGCACGTATCGTTCACAGCCCTGAGCATCGCGCCGCGATATGGCTCGAGAGAGCAGCATGTCTGCCTGGTGTGTGAAGGAGATGAAGGTTCACCTCTCACGACTGTCTTCCGGACGGCATCGAGTGGTTCGGAAGCACGGGCACGAGGCTTAGTAGCACAGAGCCCAGTCGTTCGTTGGAGCTACACGTTGAATATGGCAAGGTTCATATCATTCTCGTTGCCGTACTATCAACGCACGAAGACGCTATGACCATGCACGCCTCAGACAAGCTTCAAGGAGCGCGGTACGGTGGCGTTGTAGTGGCCTACCGAGTCCTGAGGCCTGAGGCCTCGCAGCGGCAAGCCAATGAGTTCATTCATACGCTGTCGAGGAGCGGGGAAGCTCCAAACAGTGAACCATGTAAACGGCCGTCGATAACCCTACTAGGGTCTGTCAGAGTAATTGCGCTATGACTTTCACACCTGCAACCTCAGAGACAATGCAGATGCGCTTGTGGGACCATATTTGGTCAACACAGGCATCAACAGCGTGTGATGCGCAATTGAGACACGGCTCACGACTGATTGGCCGAATCCCGCTGGATGCTTCACATCGTGTGGCAGGCTGATGCCGCGACAAACCAAAGGGTAGCGAGAAGGGGATGACGCACTACAACTTTATTATATACCATACAGGCATCGCCTCAATGTGACTCTGTGCAAACTAAATCTTGAGCTCCCAGCTGACACCACAGCCACAGCTGCCTCCTTTCGCCTACATGATTTACTACATCACTCACTCTATCACTGAACGTAACACAGACGGGCGCACCTGCGGATTTTCTATTACTCGGAAGCTGCTACCAATGAGTTCAGTAGCGAAGTCGATGGCAGAGCCCTTCAACAACGCCATGGACACGGCGTCGACGTAGATGTTGGAAGGCTTCACAGTCGGGTGGGAGAAGTGGCTAAGGGATGCTGCGTGAGCAACTGGAGTGCAGAGTTCGTGGGGGCATACGCACTAGTCGTCTTCTTGTCGCTTCTTCGCGAGCTCTAGCTTGTACTGGTACCCGTGACAGCCGCCGCTCTCTACCGCTATTCGCAACGCCGCGTTCGGGTTATGCTCTCGATTTGCGAGTGATCGGAGTTGCTGCCGATTTGTTTGTCAGCGGATGTAAGTATCATGACGGACGAACAATGCCAATGTCAGAAGCTGCGACGTTCACACCAACCCATATCTCACCTCAACGCAAATCACATTCAACTTCGAGCGAGTTGGAGTCACGGAGACTTCGGGCTGCCCAGCTATACAGCAGCCGCGGTTCCTGAGTCTGACAGCATCTGTGGCCGTCAATGTATGGGCCCAGTAGCTAGCTTTGTGCCAGGTGTATCGACGTGAAAGGCTAGGCAGCACGAGCGAGCCAGGTATGACGACGAGGTGGTAATCGGGGCACCGCTCCCCTGGCTACGTCCCACACAGTTCACAGCAAAGCCCGTCCGTCCATGTCTCAATGCCAGAAAGATCACTTACCTCTGCAGCCCTGTCAGTAATCTCCAGCTTCGCCTCCTCTGGCGGTACGAAGTCCACGTCCGGGTCATCCGCATCCTCGTCAGTCTCCTCCACGGAACTTGGCGACGGGTATGCCACAAGCACTGACTGCTTCGTCGGAGGGTGCTGCGCGAGAGCAGCTCTTGTCGAAGCCGTGGTGCTGAAGGCACGTCTGGAGTTCGAATGACGCAGAGGTCTAGCTGCATGCTGGTCTAGTACCACCCCGGTCCGCAGCTCACTCGTCGCCCAGCGATGAAGACAGCGTAAGCCGCAAGTAGATGTGCTTGAAGAAAAGGAGACTGCATGTCGCCTTAACGAACTCTTGGACACTCTGGTGATGGTGTGCAGCGAGGACATGGTGGAGGTACGAGTGAGCACGGTGCTGACTGGTGCTGAGCGGCGCCACAGAGCAATGACCGAAGCCCCGATCGTAGATTACCAATCTCAGTCCTTTCCGGCGATATCCGGCTAAACTCTCTCTCTCCAGTGGCGCATTGCACTGCTTGTACCTTGACCACTACATCCATCTCTCTGTAATGCAGCAGATGTGTTCTTCTCAGCCAGCAGCCGAATGACAGGAATCCTTTTTCATATACATCTCATATACAGGAAGCCACACAGAGCATGTGGTAGTTCAACCTGATTTCGCAGCAACGTTCTTCATGGTAATTGGCCAACCGTGTGTTTCCATGCCCGATAAAGGTCTCGCCCATATGCTCCTCGGCGTCGGAGCATGTCGAACTCGGGGCCTGAGTCCATAAAGCACCACCTCGGCCATCCAGCACAGCCATCCTTTTCAACATCTTCACCACCATGTCGTCCCCCAACGGTCTGGTCTGCTTTACCAACTGTTTGTTGCCTTCAGAGGATGGGAGCCTCATTGAGCGCGATCTATGGATCGATGAGCGTCGGGGAGTTGTCTTAGATTCGCAGGTATGTCCGGCGTGTCGAATTCGAAGTGACTGTGCTGAGTATAGACGTAGAAAACCTTCTTCATGAGGAGGGAGCGTCCCGATAGAGTGATCGACCTTGGAGGCAACATCCTCAGGTAAGTAAGATCCGCGACCCGTCGTGTACAGATAGGCGACTGATGCCGTAAACAGCCCCGGGTTCATGGACATACAGATCAATGGAGCCTACGGCTTCGACTTCTCCGTATATGACGGAGACGATGAAGTGTATAGGAACGGAATGCGCCATGTCGCTGAGAAGATCATCGAGACCGGCGTAACATCGTGAGCTCCTTCCATTCAATCATTACACTGTTCGATTGACCTTCATTATAGTCTTGTCCCCACTATCATCGTGCGTTCGATCCTCAAACCTGAGATGCAGATTGATGATCCACCCTAGACCCAAGAAAAGTCCCTCTACCCCAAACTGCTCCACCTCCTGCGCCCCTTTGCATCCCCTACTACGGCCACACTTCTCGGATGGCATGCCGAGGGTCCCTTCATACAAATGGCGAAGCGCGGTGCGCACGCCCCGCAATTCCTGGTGCCCGCGCGCGAAAGCTTCGCCTCATTCGAGGAGCTGTACGGTGCCCAGAACCTCGTAGACGAAGAGGACTGGCTCATGGCCGAGGGGAGCGATGTCGGCGTGCGTATTGTCACCGCAGCACCGGAGATCGAAGGCGTCATGTCTTCTATTCCGGAGCTGATCAAGCGCGGCGTCGTCTTCTCCATTGGGCACAGGTAAGAGCTACTGCCGTATCATTGGCGCAGTGCTTATGTGGGGGACAGTATCGCGACGACAGACATTGCGACGCACGCCGTGTACCATGGTGCGCGTCTCATCACCCATCTATTCAACGCGATGCCGCAGCTGCACCACCGCGACCCATCCATCATCGGTCTCCTCGGAGCGTCGCCCTCGCTCTATCCGCCCGTTTCTACCCCCGCGTCTCCTGCTTCCCCGGCCTCACCTGCATCGGGATCCTCGCACGCCCGGCAGGTGTCGTTGAGCAAGCGGCTCGCGCAGCTGCAGATTGAGGCTCCGGGCTCCCCGGCGGCTGCTCCGAAGGCGACATCGGAGGCGTTCGATGACCAGCAGACGCCGCCACAGACCCCGATCCTGCGCGCTCTCGCGAACACGGGCGACTTGAACCTGCGGAAGGGCAAGGTCGACGAGTCGTTCGAGCGTCCATTCTATGAGCTGATCGTGGACGGGATCCACTCGCACCCGAACTCTGTCAGAGTGCGTGCGCTCATTCGGCTTGTTGTGTTGCGCTGATTTGACTTCCTTTGTCAGTTGGCGTATTCTTCTTACCCGGAGGGCTGTATTCTAATTACAGATGGTGAGCGTTCCCCGGCGATCCTTGTGTGTTCGAAACAGAAGGACCCTGACGCGTAGACAGCGATGAAAATCTTGGACCCGCATCTGCATGACGGTGTGCACGAGTGGCGCGACGGGAAGCGCTTCGTGAAGGAGGGCGACAAGCTCTACCTCGAGGGCACGGACACCCTCGCAGGGAGGTACGTGCCGCGTGTTCATTCACCACCCTGCCCGATTTTCACCGCGAGCTTAGCGTGGTCACTCTGGACAAGTGCGTGCGCAACTTCTCGCGGTTCACGGGATGCTCGCTCGGCGAGGCGATCAAGTGCGCGACGTTCAACCCGGCGAGGTGGGTTTCATGTGCCTTCTTGCTTTGCATTTGTGTGTCGTGGGATTCACTGACGTGCCGGATCGCAGGTGCCTGGGGATTGAGAATAAGAAGGGCACCCTACGCCCGGGCGCAGACGCTGATTTGGTCGTGCTCGACCGGAAGGGCAATGTGCAGAGTACCTGGGTCAAGGGTAGGGAGGTTTGGAAGAAGAACTAATCAAACGGTAGACTGTTCCAGGGACCTCGTCAGTCATGTATTCCTAATTGCTTTAGATGTTGCATTGCGTCATACCATGCGGCTAGTTCATGAGAAACTTTGAGATTCTGTGACAAGTAGGCTCTTCAGAATGTAACTTACTACAGCCTTCTTCCAGTCACAGCCGATATGGCTCTCCAGTCAAATACTAGGTACGGAGGTTCGTGACAGGAGTTTCAATTGAACGCGGTGCATAATGTAGACTACGTATTATGGCCGTTTGCGAAAGAGTTGGCGGTGGCGCATTTCCGTTAACAATAATACCACCACCCGCTCCTCGTCAAACCCAACCCTTTGCTGCACCTGCCGCTCGCCGAACACAGACGGAGAATGATGAGAATAGAAACTGCGGTACAAATGCAAAATGTAGCCGCGACTTCCAATCTCACCCGGAGTTCTCGGGAGCCGGATCGATACAGAGATGATCAACTGCGTCATCTACGTCCTTGCTGACGAGTTCCATCCTCGTTCTTCGGGGTGTGCCTGCGAAAGCTTCGCGAGCCAGGGTACCCGACGGAGCTGCTGCAGCTGTAGATCTGTGCGGGGGCACATTTCTCACGGATTGTCACTTGGTTATTTTCTACCGAAATGCCATTTAGAGCGTATTACGCGAGAGCGACTTCGACGTCGAATCGACGATCACCTCGCTGTCAGGGTGAGGCTCGCGCGACGACTTCTTTCTCTTCCCAACCACCATCACTGGGCAGCGAACGCGGCGCATGGCGCGCTACACGGCGCGTTGCACGGCGACGAGATGGCGTCGAATCAGGATGTCCGGACCCGTGTGCCCTGACATACAGAGCGCAGCGTGGGAAGCGCTCCAGGATCCGGTCAGCCGCTATATTATCTTCTCCATTCGCCATAACCCGCCATAACATTATCTGACTCCCTCGCGCAACCACAGCTAGCCTGCTGCAAGCCGCCATGGCCAGCGAACAATCTTCTCCCTTCACCTATCCGTCCACGAATTACCAGTTTCCTACCCACCGCCTGCGGCGGCTCCGCAATCCAGACAAGCAGCCTCTCGTGCTCGTAGCATGCGGCTCCTTCAGCCCCATCACCTACCTCCACTTGCGCATGTTCGAGATGGCCGTCGACTACGTCCGCCAGAACACAGACTACGAGATCGTCGCCGGCTACCTCAGTCCCGTCAGTGACCAGTACAAGAAGCCCGGTCTGCTCAGCGCACGCCATCGGTGAGTCTGTGCACCTGATCTCGAGCTGCTTCGTTGCATTGGATGGCACGACGAGTCGGGCCTCAGTATGGGTGCACAGGGGGGACGAATGGGTTTGGCGTAGTCATGTCCGATGCCGCGGACTGTGCCATTGACTTTCACCGCCATGCCCGTAACCGGTGACTTGGGGTACAGGCCTCAGACACGCTCAGTCGCATGTACGCCACCAAGCCACAGAGCGCCGTGCTATGGTGCGAACAATCCTCCCCGCACGGACCTCCGACCTGCTTAGGGAGCACCCAGATTACCTGAGCCTATGGGCGGGTCAGGCCATCCATCTGCGTATAATCAATCATCCCCGAATGGCTCGGCAGCTGTGAGACTGCGAGGGTTCTTGCATTCGTCACTTCCTGCGCGCTCACCAGACACCTCGCGTGACCGTTGGCCATCCTGTGTCAGGCTATCGCGGGCTGCTGCGGATTGCATGCAAGAGAACGAGGCTTGCGCTATCTGCATCGTGTTCGCATTCACGTTGCGTATGCTTTCAGCGAGCGTATCTATTCGCTCTGACATGGTATGTTTCTGCGGCCGCCGTGCACGTGTTGAAATTCTATTCCGTTTAGTCGTCCACTAGACATTTACTGTGCGTCGTGTGAACAGACACTGACGATTGCCTCCGCTAGTGTTCACATGTGCAACATCGCCGCCGAGCAAACATCAACATGGCTCACGGTTGACCCATGGGAGGCCCTCCAAACCTACCAACGAACCGCTGTCGTGCTCGACCACTTCGACTTCGAGATCAACACCGTCCTCGGCGGGATCGCATCACCGGACGGGACGATGAAACCCGCGCGGATCATGCTCCTCGCCGGCTCCGACCTCATCGCGACGATGAGTGAGCCGGGCGTGTGGTCCGAGCCTGATTTGGACCACATCCTGGGCCGGTACGGCGTGATGATCATCGAGCGCGCGGGCGCGGACATGGACCAGGCGATCGACTCGCTCTCACGCTGGCGGCACAATATCCACCTCATCCACCAGCTCATCCAGAACGATGTCTCGTCGACGAAGGTCCGTCTCTTCCTGCGCCGTGGCCTCTCCGTGCGCTACCTCCTTCCCGCACCTGTCGTGGAGTACATCGAGGAGAACGGGCTGTACTCAGACGAGGGCCCGACTGCGAGCGCAGCGAGCGGCGCGGTGGTCGCGGAAAAGGAGAAGGGGAAGGGGAAGGAGAGCGAGCCGGACTCAAGCGGTGCCAAGTCATGATGTCCGTCGGGCATGGAAGAAAAGTATAGAGCGGGACAGCAGTATGCGGGGACATTTGTACGTTGCGCGTGGCACACTAGATTGCGCTGGTTTATCTATTCTGTATTTGTGGATTTCTGATCTGTACGTGCTACTTCATTCTCTTATGCGCAGTCGCGATACGGGGGTCGTCGTGTTGCTTGCTCTCAGCGCTGTTCAGCTGTTGTGAGGTGACCAGTGACCGGTGACCGAATGATCCCCCGGCGGCCCCTCCAGTCGGAGGAGGGTCATCGTGCACACGATGCCTAACCCACAACAACGAATCTTCGTCTTGCTGGTGTTGAGCGGAGTACATAGACAGGGGTAATTTAGGCTGCATGCCTCGCCGCATTACATGGAAGACACCCGGCTGGGCAAGAATGCAGCGATCTTATGGTCGAAACATCGCTCATTGCGGGATAGAGTCGAATATGGTACAGATCGTGTGGCTTCTCCATTAATTGTCTTCAGAGATTGGCCTGCAGCCAAGGGTAGATCTGCAGCTTCTCCTTGTCCCACTGCACCGTCTGGGTCAGCACGGCATCACAAGGCGACGAGTGCGAGCGGGTGGGACGTACCACCCCGGTCTGGTAGTAGAGATCCGACTCGACCACCTTCCGCACAGTCTCGATGCTGTCCGCCTCGAAGACCATCATAGAGCCCACGAGCTTCTTCTCCGCGGTCGGAGACGCGATCGACTCGGGCGTCAGCAGCCCACCACCGAACTCTACAACCGGCCACCATCTACATTGAGCTCCACATCGTCGCGGACGGCCACACGGCACGCACTGAGAACTCCATTCGCATACAGCGACTTCGCGTTCACGAGGTGCGACTCGCGCACGGCCATGCGGCGGCTGAACGCCTCAGGGTCGGTCAGGTCGGGCGCCCACACGGCGAACTTGTACAGCGTCGGGCCTGAGGTCGTGGACATCGCTGCGAATTGGGATGGGGGCCTGCGGGTGAGAGCGTTGAACACGGTGCGAGCTGGGAACACTCGAGCGGGATTCATTATAAGTAGACGGTCTCAGGTCAGGTCCAGGAATGGCGGGCCGGAAGCTTATAAAGATTGTTCAAGAGACTGACACGGAGTCACGATGCATCTTGGCCCACGGATCGCTATCAGACAGTCGACGGTGAGTTGGTGACCCGGAAGAAAACAACATTGGTGAGCTCACAGGGCGGGAACTCGGAAGTTCCTGCTCATTCGAGGTACTTACCACGGATATCATCTGTGTGGCAGCTGAGGGCAGCTGGCTTCTAGTGCCAGAACCTTGCAAGTGACTACCTGAATCGCAACGCAGGCCATACCGAATGCACTAGATTGCACACTAGACCATACTAGACCCAGATATATCGTACTGTACAAAGTAATGACAGCGACAGAGTACATGCCAGCGACAGAAGTTCATCACAGAGGGTTCAAAAGTAATGTCTGCAACAATTAGTAAAAGCAAGGAGTCTCACAGAGCATACAATAATGCGTGGAAGAAGTCCGATTGAATGCAAGGTTCATGAGAAAGGTTCAAGTGTTCAGTGTTCAGCAGTTCATAGGCCTGCGGCCGACGCAAGCAAAGTGAAGTTCGGCGTGCCGAGCCCAGTAACCTGAAAGTCAATCCGCCGTCAGGTTCCGTCTATCCGCAGTAAGTAACTCGTCACTCACAGGATCCCATCCCTGGGCAGCGTAGAACCCGGTCGTGCCCCCACTGCACGCAAGGTTGTTCCCATCCACGATATCATTCAGTGCGCCCATCCCTGACGCGGTGCTATACAGCCACGGGTTCAGGAAGCCAAGCACGCTCTTGCCCGCGCCCAGCAGCTGATCATTCAGGAGCGCGATGATCGCCGCGAACGTCGGCGTCGAGCAGCTCGTCCCGCTCACGATGAGCGTCGCCGAGCCGGACTTGATGTCGTACCGCGTGCCGTAAGCGGAAACGTCCGGGTACGCGCGCCCGGAGGCGTTGAAGAGCCCGCTCGAGTTCGAGCCGAGCGCGGAGAGGTAGGAGGCGACCGCGTCAGATTGGTAGGCGGGCTGGCCGAAGTAGTTGGAGAAGCCGCCGCCGGAGAAGCTTGCGGCTACTTCGGTGGGCTGGGAGGTGGTTGCGCCGATGGTGGTCACGCTGCGGGGAATTAGACTAGCGAGAAGAAAAGGATGGGACGCAAACGTACTAGGGGCAGCTGGCAGGGAAGACGGGTACGAATTCCGTGCAGTTGTCGGAAGCCTGGTTGCCAGAGACGCCTCCGTCGCCCGAAGCATAGAGGATGGAGACGCCTCGGGCACCCAGTTGAGCGTAGGCGTTGCAGATGGAACTGTGAGGCTGCTGAGCAAGGATCCGACAACCGTCAGGAGCCGACCTACTTCGCGAGGTTCTCAGAGAGGACATTCTCGTTGTCACCGTAGCTGGTGGACACGACTTGAGGCGGGTTGTCCATGGACAAGAGGTAATTTGCGGCATCGAGCAACGCGTCGTCAAATGACCCGCCGACGGTCATGAAGAAAGCGGGCACGTTGGTGGCAAGGCCGACGGCGTATTCCACGTCAAGATTCTACACCAATATGTCTTCAGCTGAGCACTCGCATTCAGAGCAGTCGAAGTACTGACCGCCTCGGTTCCCGCGTTCTCTCTCCATTGCGGATCTGTACCATTGTTGACGCTGATCACCGTATAAGTCGTGGAGTTGCTAACATCGGGTCGGTACGTCGTCAGGAAGCTCTGTAGGGTCGCATCAGCCTGATCGGTGTGCCGAAGACATCGCAGCACACCTGGAGATCCGCTTCTTCGGCATAGATCCCATCGTAGCCTGTCACCGCGATCTGGTTCGAGGACTGGGTGGCCGGCGTGGTGGGGATGCCATACATCGCCTGCAGGCACTCTGGTATCATGTTTGGATTGCCAGAGCCGCATGGCGTGACTGCGCGAGCTTCTACTTCGCCAGTGTCCTCGCGTCTCGTCCAGGACTCCAAAATGGGTGAGTGGTTGATAATCGAAGGAAACCTGTGGGTCAATGCGTTGATCTAGCAGGTGTCAGGCTGGAGGAGCGGGACACGCACGTGGTCGTCGGGTGAACGCAGCCGATATGGGCCTGCAAGTCCGTAGGGAGAGAGTATTGGAGCGTGCGGATGGTGTCTGCGCCGGTGCTGTCGTGCGTGAACAGCGAGTAGTCGGCAAGCAGGAGCGAGTTAGCCTGCGCGACGGAGACGTTGACTGCAAGCCAGTCTCCTGCTGGTGAGACTGCGGTGGCGTTCAGCCCATGCTCGTTGAGCCAGGCCGTGACTGCTTCCGTGCTCTCCGACGTCGGCGCAACAAAAGCTTCAACCTGGTACACGACAAGTTCGGGTTATGATACTCGCGCTTGTAGACGATCAAAGGCCTCACGTACCTCCTCTTTCGACAGATGCTGGCCGTACTTGTCACTCGATGGATCGCTCACATCGTTCAGCGCGTCATACAAACCTACGAGATTATTCTGCGCCAAACCGATGCGTAGACTCAGCGTATGGTCCGCATTTGCCGCACCATTGAGAGTGAACCCATTCGGTGCCTCATCGCGTCTTTCATGAACTTGCAAGGAACGTGTGGTGGATTTGCCGAGAACGAGCGTAGAGAGCAAGAGAGCGACTGTGCAGGCGGCTACCATGGTGACCGACTGCTGCAAATCCGGACGAAATAACCACACACCGCGACTCGAAGAGGACGTGGTGGTCGAAGCGGGAGAAGGGGAACAATGCGCAGGCGCACCACTTCATCTCTTCAACGTCCGGTGATCACCCTCGAAATCACCCGTCCCGGCGCCGACCACGCGTGCACTAGGTCCCTCGACGCAACCGGGCATCGTACAAGCGAAATTGACAGGAAGATTAACCCCACATCTTATGCTTGGCAAATGAGCTCGTCCTCCGATAGTCAGTCTCTTGATACCGAGGCTGAAGTCAATCTACTGTGGGCGTTGGAGGCACTTGCGTTAATTGATTGTTCGGAGGGTACAGGTAGATGCAGAGTCTGGACAGTATGTTAATAAGAGTATGGCTTGAGTATGGTTTGCCACAATGCGACTCGTCTTGATATTCAAATTCAAACCCAGCTATAAGTACTTGCAGTCAGTAACTCGGCGGCTCCGCTCAGTGCACACAAGACGCTGGGCGCTACATACCGCGCTCCCGACCTCCTCCTCCTCCACGACCTCCTCCTCCTCCACACCGCCGGCCGCACTGGCAGACCGTGACGCGACACCCACCAGCGTACCCATCACTCTTGCGCATATATAGTATCTTTCTTGTTGTGCACTGCTTTACGTGTTCTATTGATTGAAGCCTGGCTTGAGCCGAAGGAAAGACGTACGTCACCCTCGAATCAAACTGATATCTCGACCTGAGCTTTCAACTCATGATGGTGTGAAGTTTGAGCAGTGTTGATCATGTACCAGCTTTGCTGTGCTTGCGTAGACAATGCGCACATTTGCGCCGTGCGTTTTTCAGACCGCGTTTGACGAGCCCAAACGAAGAACATATCCAGCGGCCCTGACGCGTCGACGATCTCAGCGGCGCGTGCAGGCCGTACGATCTGAGCGCCTTTCGTCTTCGAGACCGCATGCATTATGTTGCGTGTGTAAAGGCGGTGTGTGATCGCCGAGACAGCAGGTGTTGTGCAGGAGAACTCGAATTGAGACAGCGATAACGGTCTCACAAGGCGTTCGCGCATAGCCATCGTCGATCTCGAGCTCAGGCGGGAGGTACAAAAGCCTACCTGGGCCAGATACTTCGATTCCAGTCCAGGGCCTACTCTCCTGCGCCGACATTGTCAAGTATGGTAAGCTTCCTCTGGGCAGTGGTGGCAGCCTCGGCTTTGGGCGTCGCGTGGGGCAACCCTTTGGCTCGCCGGACCTTGCAGCTACACGAGGCTCGTGCAGCGGCTCCGAGTGGTTATACGCTCATTTCTTCTGCATCCCCGGACACGGTACTCAATCTTCGGGTCGCACTGGTGCAGAGCAATATCGACGGACTGCTTGACACACTCTACGACGTCAGTGATCCCGAAAGTCCGAACTACGGCGAATACCTAACTAAAGAAGAGGTATGTTTGTCCCCATTCGTTTCGCTCTCGAGTATACCCTGAACTCTGTGCCAGGTCGAAGCCTATGTCAAGCCGACGCAGGATAGCGTCGAGGCTGTTAACGCATGGCTTGGGGACAACAACCTCACGGCAACGCCCGTATCACCTTCGGGCGACTGGGTCGAGGTCAACATTCCTGTCAGCAAAGCAAATGAGCTCCTGGACGCGGACTTCTCTATCTTCAGACACGAAGCTACAGGCATGCAGACAATCCGGGCTTTGCAATACTCGATCCCTGTGGACCTGGCCGAGCATGTGGACCTCATTCATCCCATCATCAGGTTAGTAAAGTATCTTAGTACGTCCACACGCACTGACATGCATGGAGCCTAGCTTCCCGGTGCAAATCGTGAACAACACTGCACCCGCGTTTGTTGCGGCCGCAAGCCCTCACAGCACGATCGTTGCCCGTGATGCGAATGTCAGCGTTATTTGTGGACCTTACACCCAGCCGAATATCACAGTAGCATGCCTCCAGTACCTGTATGGCATTCCGACCACTCCCGCGACGAACCCCGATAACGGCATCGTGGTCGCCGGATATGTAGAGCAATACGCGAACGCGAACGATCTGAAGGTCTGTTGTCATCAGTGCCGAGGGAACATGATCCATGCTAACTTGCTGCGCTCAGATATTCCTGGAGAAGTACAGGCCAGATATAAACCCTTCAACGACCTTCGCGACAGAGACGATTGACGGAGGCAGTAATCTGCAGAATGTTACCGCTGGATCTGAAGGGGTAAGGGCATCGATGTTCTCGGAAGGGAGCCAATCTAACGAAGGAGCAGAATCTCGATATACAGTATACCGTCGGCCTTGCCACGGGCGTCCCAGTGACTTACCTCCTGGCCGGAAACGACACACATGACGGGTTGTCCGGCTTCCTCGACACGGTGAACTATCTCCTCAATCAGACATCACCACCCCCGGTGATGACGACGAGCTACTCATCCAACGAGGATGTGATCTCGGAGAAACTGGCATAGTGCGCATATCTTCGTCATGAGAGAATCTTGGCAACACTGACTCAACCGCTCGCGCCCTCGCGCAGTAACCTTTGCAACGTCTATGCGCAACTCGGCGCGAGGGGTGTCTCAATCTTATTCTCTTCCGGCGACGGTGGCGTCTCAGGTACAGGCTACCAAGATTGCACGACCTTCGTGCCTACGTTCCCCAACACGTGCCCATAGTAAGTCGAAGCCCTTGTCGCCCACACCACAAGAATCTGACATACCATCCTTGTTGCGTAGCGTGACTTCGGTTGGTGCCACGGGTGCGGACATCAACTGGGCAGACCAGCAAGGCGTGCCCTTCTCGGGCGGCGGCTTTTCCAACTACTTCCCCATGCCGACCTACCAGTCTTCTGCGGTCTCGGCTTACCTCAAGCAGCTCGGCAGCAATGACACAGGGCTGTACAACGCGTCCGGTCGCGGCTTCCCGGACATCAGCGGCTTCGGCGTGCTGTTCGCCACCGTGGTCGATGGCCACTATAACCCGGCGACGGGCACAAGCTGCTCGACGCCGATGTGGGCGAGCGTTATCGCGCTGCTGAACGACGAGCTGCTCAATGCAGGCAAGCCCGTGTTGGGCTTCTTGAACCCGTGGTTGTACTCGAAGGCGGCGGGTGCGGTGACGGATATTGTGAACGGGAATAACAAGCAGTGCCTGGAGTCCGACGGCTCCGTGGCTGGCTTCGTGGCGACGACCGGGTGGGACCCTGTAAGTGCATTCCAGCTACCGAAGGAAACGAGGGGACTGATTGCGCCACCGTGCAGGTCACCGGTCTGGGGACGCCTCTCTACGACAAATTGAGAGCGGCAGCAGGGCTCTGATCATTGCCAATAATTTGCGGCATATGCCTTCGAGGCGTGAACTAACAATAGACAGGGACACTCGGGGACTCTGCACGGACATGACGCGGACTGGTATTGTATGCATTGAATAACGATCCTCATGCTTTGATGTTCTGACCATCTCTCACTCACGACATTCGAGGCTGTCAATCTCCGTCAAGCTCAGCGTGGTCGACCGAATCTAGCAGTGCTCGTGCAGTTATCGTCAGTCCACACTTCCACGCTCGAGTACTTGTCTGCTGAGCTTCGGGACAATGTTCGGGTCTGCCAGGAATGTCAAATGGGCTACCGAGACATGCCAGAAGCATCAGCTCACATACAACGTGCTGCCCAGGTAACGTTGCGAGAACGGCGCTACCAAGCATTTGCAGTATTTCGACTGCGTACCAGACTCGACAAGCCTCGCTTCTCTTACGGTCAGTTATGTTTGCGTACATATCAGGCAGGCCACCTGTCCGAGTGCCTGCCTCCTGCTCGGATCCATGTGTAATGCGCGGGCGGTTCGCTCATGCGCGCAATGTATATAAGGTGCTAGAGAGCAGAGCTAATCCGCATCCAGAGCCTCCGAGTCAGTACTCAGTCCTTAGCCAACATGTCTCAAATCAACCTGCAGATGTCGTACTGTGCCTGGGCTCCGGACAGCAAAGCCGGCGACGCCGTGGAGAAGCGTAAGGCCCTCGACAGCGAGCACAACGAGTGGTTCCAGGCCCGCCGCGCGGATGGCTCCGTCAGTAAGTCGACCGCTCGCTCTGTTATCGCCACCTGTCACGTCCAGCCACATCGCTCTTGTCTGATGACCTTGTTCGTTGACAAACTGTGGACTTCATGTAGAGTTCGGTGGTGCGATCTTGGCCAAGGACGAGAAGTTGCCGCTCACAGGTGTTCCCGACATTGGTGGGACCTTGCTGATCTTCAAGGCAGACAGCTTGGAGGATGCGCGCAAGCTCATTGAGCAGGAGCCGTACTACAAGGCCGGCGTGGTAAGTTGTTACTTCGTCGAATGATTGCGTTGCTGAACTCAGGCTGCTTGGAACCCTAGTGGGACACGAGCGACATCAAGATCGCGCCTATCCTTTCCAGAGCTTAGGTCAGAGTAATGCGAGTGCGATGAGCCTCGATATGTCAAGCGACACGTATCAATTGGATATGGATTATGCACATGCTATGAGGTGACTTGAAGTTGAGCCACAGTTCGCCGCTTCGCTGAATCTTTGAGCCTGAGTTCGCGTCACAGTCATGTCTGCTGTAAGATGTCTGAAGTATACATGAGTACCACGTTGCCCCGGCCCATCTCAGAAATGCGTATGTCTCCAAGAGCCTTGTGCCAGCGGTTTTGTTTACCTGGAAGGATGATCAGAGCGGTTTGCAGGCCGTAGTATGTCTATACAGTATGCTCTCCAAGCGAAATTAGTGTTTTATGCACAGCATATCGGTAGTAGTTCCCCGTAGGCAGCGTCTGAGTACGTAGACACGGGCCGCCACGGCGCTTCAAGCTTCAGCGCTGAGGGAAGTACCGTCAACTCATCATGTAACGGGAACACGGACTAGTACGAACTTGTATCGTAGTACAGTGGTAAGGCTCGCTATACCCCAACACCTATCCAGATATCTTGGCTTCCTTCTTGGGCGGTTGCGAGTCGTCTGAACTCTCAACCACAGCTACAGGACGTTTGC